AATTAAAAAATAGCGCAAGGACGACGGAGGGAGGAACAAGAGACAGGAAAGAGCGCTAACTGACAACTGGCGTTTTATTTACAAGAGAAAAGAAGACGAAAAGAACAAAAGGCAATTCAAAGACAAAAAAGGAGATAGAAAAAGAAGAAGGAAGATAAAAAAGATCGGATAGGGAACAGAAGGATGCTTTTTGTAATTATATACTAAATATTATAAAGCAGAAAAATAATAATTATAAACAAGAATTCAAAAAGGAAAAGAAAAAGGAAAACAGTACAAGAAAAACATAAGAAAAATTCAGTGTCAACATAATGTGTAGGAAGGATCTTCAGGGATGAAGGCTGAGGTAAAACTGTTCTTTTTCTGATAAGGCTACTGAAGGAGCACTGACGCAGGCGTCGCCCTTGGATATTATGACGTGTGCTTCGAAGAGTTCTCTACTTCTCTGACCCGAAAACCGTTTGAGGACTTTCGTGTGCTCGAAGAGTGGGGTACACAGACAGTCTCTTACATGCACCGCAAGATGTCCCGCGGGAGATGACCTTAACGCTAAGGCATGTTCCCTTAGCCTGACATTTAGACAACGCCCGGATTGTCCCACATATACCTTTCCACACGAAAACGGTATTTCGTACACTACACCGCTAATGCAGGTGACATATTGGTGTTGGTGCTTTACAGTACATTTTGCAGTTTGTTCCTGCTTGTTATTGATTTTTGGGCATAGCCTCATTAGTTCATCAGGAGCTGACATCAAAACCTGTACATCAAACTTGGATGCCGCCCGCTTCAAGTTATGGGAAATGCGGTGTATGTATGGCACTACAGCCGGTCGGCGTCCCTAGAAGTTATTTCTTGCTGGTCTTTTACTTGATGTAATCATGGATTCAGCGACATCGAACAGAATCGAATAAGGATATCCAGATGCCGTGAGTCTTTGAATTTTGGAATTAAAACTCTCACCGGCTGTAGGTTCACATGATTTCTTGAGGGACGCACTTAAACAACTCCTTACGATCCCTCTCTTGATTAGCTTTGAATGGGCAGAGACGTATTGTAATAGCATTTTCTTTGATCTTGGAGAGTAGATCCAGCACGCTTGATCTACTCAAAAGGGTCCTAAATATTGCACTACGCCGAAGAGGGAAGGTGTACATCTATTGTCTAACATTCACGACATTGCGGCTAAGGGTCAAGAAGCTGATCGATCCCGCTGTATAGAGGATTGCGTCGACGTACTGTTAAGGAAGGGTCCTATCAGTGAAAGACAATGAAGATTCCTCGTATTGTAGAGTATTTTCAAGCGAATGATCTGAACCTACTTGTGTCAGATAAAGAAGGAGGGTTTGTTGTGACATCTAAGGTGAACTACCTAGAAAAGGCTACAGTGGCCATTGAAAAGAACTTTAACGCGTTGCAAGACTTCAAAACCAAGACACTCAAGGCTAAGGCGCTTCAAATGTGCCATAGGCTTGATCTGGAGCAACTGCGCAAGCATATCACATCTGCCAGAAGGGACCACTTAGATATCTTCTTCACGGCCAAGACCCATAAGGTAGAATGTCCCTTTCAAGTGGTTGTGACGGAAAAGGGGTCTTGGCAGGGTATGATGTCACGATTCCATCTACGTCACCTGTCTACCCTCCAACTGGACGATCCTTTTCTGGTGCCAAACTCTGAAGCGGTAATCCAATACCTGCAACAGAATGCTACGACGGTTCACTTCGGGTTCTCTCTGGACGTTGAAGATTTGTTTTATTCTATACCTCACAACAAACTGTTTGCAGCAGTAAGTGAGTGTATCGAGGCCAATGGTTCCATATCTTTTCAAAACAAATGTGGAATCAACGTGGAATCCTTCTTAGAACTTCTGAGGTTCTACCTTTCCGCAACTGTTGTCACCTTTAATGGTAATACATATACACAAAAGAAAGGTATATGTATAGGTTCGTGCGTGGCACCTGTGTTATGTGACATTTTTTTGTCCCAATGCGACCGGGCCATTGCTAGCACACTTAACACCGGCCAGGTGTCAGTCATATTTAGATATGTTGACGATTATCTTGTCCTCATGAAAGACCGACCCAATGAGAATGACACAGAGGTAAGCGACAGCATACGAAACACCTTCGTAGAGCAAGCACAGGGGCTCAAGTTTACGCATGAGTTGCCGGCGAACTCCTCTCTTCAGTTTCTAGATCTTCGGTTATCGTTTCTTGATGATCAAGCGTGCTGGATCTACTCTCCAAGATCAAAGAAAATGCTCTTACAATACGACTCTGCCCATTCAAAGCTAATCAAGAGAGGGATCGTAAGGAGTTGTTTAAGTGCGTCCCTCAAGAAATCATGTGAACATACAGCCGGTGAGAGTTTTTATTCCCAAATTCAAAGACTCACGGCATCTGGATATCCTTATTCGATTCTGTTCGATGTCGCTGAATCTATGATTACGTCAAGTGGAAGACCAGCAAGAAATAACTTCAAGGGACGCCGACCGGCTGTAGTGCCATACATACACCGCATTTCCCATAACTTGAAGCGGGCGGCATCCAAGTTTGATGTACAGGTTTTGATGTCAGCTCCTGATAAACTAAGGAGGCTATGCCCAAAAATCAATAACAAGCAGGAACAAACTGCAAAATGTACTGTAAAGCATCAACACCAATATGTCACCTGCATTAGCGGTGTAGTGTACGAAATACCGTTTTCGTGTGGAAAGGTATATGTGGGACAATCCGGGCGTTGTCTAAATGTCAGGCTAAGGGAACATGCCTTAGCGTTAAGGTCATCTCCCGCGGGACATCTTGCGGTGCATGTAAGAGACTGTCTGTGTACCCCACTCTTCGAGCACACGAAAGTCCTCAAACGGTTTTCGGGTCAGAGAAGTAGAGAACTCTTCGAAGCACACGTCATAATATCCAAGGGCGACGCCTGCGTCAGTGCTCCTTCAGTAGCCTTATCAGAAAAAGAACAGTTTTACCTCAGCCTTCATTCCTGAAGATCCTTCCTACGCATTATGTTCACACTGAATTTTTCTTATTTTTTTCTTGTACTGTTTTTTCTTGTACCGTTTTCCTTTTTCTTTTGCTTTTTTTAATTCTTGTTTATAATTATTTTTTTTTGCTTCATAATATTTAGTATATAATTACAGAAAGCATCCTTCTGTTCCCTATCCGATCTTTTTAATCTTCCTTCTTTTTCCATCTCCTTTTTTGTCTTTGAATTGCCTCACTTCTTTTCGTCTTCTTTTCTCTTGTAAATAAAACGCCAGTTGTCAGTTAGCGCTCTTTCCTGTCTCTTGTTCTTCCCTCCGTCGTCTTTGCGCTATTTTTTTTAATTATTGTCCTTCAGTACTCTCCTCCTTCCTACGCGGCGTGCTTTCATTTCCACTGTTTTGTTCGCAGACATTCGGCGTCCGCTCTTCGCGATCGCATTAATGAACTACGATGAACCCTGAATTTTATAGCGGAAAATGGGCTCCGGAAAACACCCCACAAATTTCGCAATAAAATAAACTCCAAAACTCGGAAACTTTGGCATCCCTGATCCTTCGAGGCAGACATTTAAACCAGCTTGATTATACTTACAAAGTACGGGGAAGGCAATGCGTCGAGGCACCACATGCCTGAAGTGTGTGGGTTGCTTTTGCGTTATGTGGGTGCTGGGGCATGGGGCTGTTCCGTGCGGGGCTAGCGTAACCGCACTTTTGGGGTGTATTGTTGCTCAACATATTTTGTGTTCCTCGTCATCTGTCAGCGTGAAAGTGCGAATAAAAATGCGATCGGTTTAAATTCCGATTAGAGCACAGTGGGCCCCAGTCAGACGCAAGGGCGTGAACCGGCCTTGACTCTACACACTAACGAAGCCTCTGCGTTCCCTTCCCAACATTCTTCATGTTTCTTAAGCAATAGTAGACTGACAACTTAAGCTTTTTTTGTGGGGGGCGAAGATTTTTCGAAGATTAGAACGAGATGCTTCGGGCCCTGATTGTATCGCAATACAACGAATACACCTGCAAATAAGTCTATGGAGAAACGCGAGTTAAAACTACACATGATATCATGATACGGATATTCAAATGCGAAATGAATTTTTAAAATAATATCGCGGTGCAAAAGTGTTATCTCAATAATGCCCAACCCTACTTGAGAAAATTCTTGAGGCCCTTTCGTGACTCCTTCGATCTAAGCGGGTCCCCCTCACATCCCAGGACCGAGTCTGTTTGTAAGTCTGGATAAAATCTACGCTATCAGCAAAAATGGCTAGTCAGCGCAATGTTGGTATTGTTGGGACATATAACTATTTGTCCAATAGTTTTTTTCTGGTTATAAGAACTATACGCAAAAAAGAAAACATAAGATGATAATCGATATACTGCAACAATTACTTCCTTCTAGAGTATTGGTTAGCTCAATTAGGACTAGGTTTAATCCTTCCCTGATGTAATATTCGAAAGGAGGTTGAGCGTTGACACACCTAAAATAACTAATCGATAGCAACCAGCAATCGTGGGTCTTACTTCTACGTTACCTTATATACTCATGGCTTGCGCTGACGTCACATCAGCAGCCATTGTATCAGCCTTGCTACAGAGCGCGTACCGTATGCTGCATACGTTTCGCAACTCGATTTGTTTTTGCAAGAACATGCGCTATTACCAGTAACGCGTGAAGATGTCAGATGCAAAATATGTAGGGTATGAACCATCTTTTAGGATCATGTTAGTTTTATTTCTAATACATGCCTGAAGGAGTTTAAAAACAGTCAACTCAACAACTGCATGTTTTAATTTTTAAATCTGCCTTTCCAATATTGAGGAGTTCCATTTTACAAGGTATTTCTAATAATTTCTGGTAAATAATTAAAAAAATTGCACCTACGTTTTTTATAAAATACAGTATACCATTCATCCGAAATGGAACAGGGCGACGGTAAATTACGACTACGCGATCCTGAAGCTGAACACCCCACTGGACTTCAGCGGTGCTCAGAAGGCGCTGATGCCAATCTGCCTTCCTGAGAAGAACCAAGTTTTTGACAACCGAACCTGCACTGCCACCGGATGGGGATATTTAAAGGACAGTAAGTGTTTTTTTAAGTGGTAGCTTTAAGTGAGAATTTTGCACGGACTTTTCTTGATCATGCTGCTATGGTCGCACCATGGTAAAGTCAAGGGTGGCTGTGTCAACAACGAAACAAAGGTACTCGCTTGACGTCGTAGTGCGCAAACAATAGCCTTGCCCCGCATGGGAGGGGGAGCGTCGGCTAAGCTGTGTGCTGACCAAAAACATTACTATATAAGTGCGAAGAAACCCTAAGACATGAACGCATTGTTTCTATTATCTATGGCCTGCAAGGACGTCAAACCAGCTGCCATTTTGGTGGCCTTGCTGCCGAGCACGTATCCTTTTGCAGCTGAAATGTTTTAGTATCGCATATTTTTGGTGACAAGAAGAAGTAGTAATGACCACCGTCATAGCGCAGCGACGTTACGTGCAAGCCAGGCATAGCGCCAACTCCGCCGAACTTACAAATCTTTGCGCTGTGAGCAACATAACGCCGTGGAATCAGAGCTGAAAAAGATTGTTACATTCACTGTTTTTATAGGATCACCATTAACTCCGGTCTAAAGCCTGTTTCACATGCAGCGACTGTGCAAAAAGATAGGTGCAAAAGCCGACGCAGCGAGTGCGATCGCAATGCTTGGTTTCACATGCTCCAAAAACCGCAGGATTTCTGTCGGCGCGGCCGGCTTTTCGGACACTAACGTCACGTGTTCGACTGCCTAAGATACAACTAAAACGTCTTAATACACACAAATCTCTCACGAATAGAATATTTAACCAGAAATTCATAATAATTGAGCATTAAACTAAAAGCTTTTAGGCGTCTGAATTTATTTTTAAATGCGCAGCTATCGCGGATGAAAGCTGGCTAATGAACGGCTGTTTCATGAGAAAGCGATCGCACCGAATCTGCGACAAACTACCAACTTGGTGGAAACCAGTCGCATAGTTGCTGGAACAGTGCGTATGCGATTTTAATCGCACATTTTCTTTAATTCGCACCGATTTGGGACGAGAATCACGGCATGAAAAACAGCCTTTAGTTCATAAAACTAATGCACTTCGATAGAAGCGACAGGTATCCCAAACAATTTTGATAGTTTTTTACCCCAAAATTAAACTGCCTATCGCCGAAGGCTCCTTCTCCGCTCACATGTAGCGCTAACAGTTCGAACCAGATGATAAAGTTACAAACTATGCGTTATCTTATTTAGAAAGTAAGGGTGATTTTCTAAAAAAAATTAAGTAAAAAATGGCGGCCGACGGGTCCTCAAATATGTAGAGACAAATAGCTCCAATTACCGAAAATGGGCGAAAATTGGCCCTGTTTTTCCATTCAAAAATTTTGAAAATCACTTTCAACTTTGGCAGTCTGGTCAGATTGTTATCACTACAAATGTGCGGAAATAAGTGCTCGGTATGCGTAATCTTAAAAAAAAACAAAAAACAAATTGCCATTCTGTGTGAGATTTGCTGTAGATGACGAAACGAAGCATGGCTTGAGCTCTGGAACTGATATATGCCACAGCGCATGTTTCTTGCAAACATACGATGGTCCATAAAAAGACCGAGCTATGAAGCGGCCGATGGAGCCAGGGAGCCAAACAAGTGCTGTGAGATAAAGTCTCTAATAGAGTTCATGCTTGGCGTATCTTACAAGTACCGACTATCAGAGTTGGCGAACACGGGATACAGGTACCACGAGACCACAAACGAGTGTCACACTACAATTTCCTTTAGGGGCTGCTGCATTGCTTCTCATTTCAGTGTTGCGCCGCCATTTGCTTCGAAGTATCAAACGAGGCACGGGCTCGGACATTGGCGTATTTGAAGATTTGATGCCGCTTACAAGACAAAGCCATCATATGCTGCTGTTACATGCGCTACGCTTACATGAAGGCGATCGTAGAGCATCAAACTGGTGTTTTTGTCGACGCCGCCTGGTGCTGAGCAGTCGCAAGTGCCGGCTGTCATGATTCAAAAGTGCGACTTTCCCATCATTAGATTCGGTATTAGGAAGCTTGTGTAATATTGAATTAATCTATCGCTAACTGTTTAGACATTTGTGGAGGAAGGAAAGGGCAACCATGATTTTAAGCCACAAGATGGGCAACTGTCATTATTCTGAAGCGTAGCTTATGTAATGGCTGTGACACAAACAATCCACCGAAAAAGAAAACGTCAAATCTGCTCTCGTTAGAATCAAGCAAAGCACTCGTGCCGCGTGTCGACGTCTGTGCAAGCTGATGAAAACAGCAACAAAAGCAAATGCTCTCTTCGGACGTTTGGTGCTTGTGTCGCCATCTCGTTGAACCCACTGAAAATAAATCTAGCGAAAAGTGCAATGACAAAAACGTTTACTCTAATTCGCAAATACGAACAAATTAAGTCTTTCCACCAGGGTCTTGAAATTAAGATGGGTGAAACCTCCACTAAGTACAACCAATCGTTTTGTCACTTTTATTTTCCAAGTATTTTTAATTTTCAGATTGTATAAAAACTCGCTCAAAACACTCAAATTGATTAAACATCTTCAGTGCTCTGAGGGAAAATCTAAGATTCGTGTGACGTTCAATACATCTTAATAATGATGCTCAAAAAGAGTCAGTACACCGGTGCATTCCTGAAACTCAGGTTTGTGTAGAAAAATTTACCATTTGAGTGACGATGGGGTGAATCCTATTTAAGGTTCCCAGAAAACACAAATATCTGTTCGTCGCTCTCACACTTTAATGTTTGTTGGTTTTTTACTTGGCGCAGAATCTATGGGTGGAGGAACTGTTTCCAACGTTCTTCAGAAGGTGGATTTGCCCACAGTTCCTTACAATGAATGCAAGAACGACTACAGGAACGTGAACACGGTGGTTGAGGAGACCATGATCTGCGCTGGTCCCAAAGAGGGCGGAAAATCGGCTTGCCAGGTGAGTGGATAAAAAAAAGCAATATTTAATATTGCAAGACCTGTAGGACAACAATAACAAGGTTTATGCGAGATGTGCACTGTGTTTTACTTTGATCTCTACAAAAAAAAAAGGAATGCACATGTGTGATTCATATTTCGTAATATCATATAAAATGCCAGTAACAAGGAAAGTTTAAAATCTAAGTAACTTTCTACGTGGACTTTGCAATTATAGTTCTTTTATCCTTCATTTGTAAACATTGTGCATCTGCATTCAGCTCGGTTTTCACAATGTTAGGTATATCATGAAACCAAGTACATAATGTTATATAACGTTCATAATATACTAAAAGGGTGGTTTTCTAGCATGGATAGTGGGAGAAAAGAAAAACGATCGCAAGATTGCGAAAACAGTGGTCGCATCGAGGTCGCAAGACCCGCCACAGAAGAAACGAAATGGGTCGTCCATGTAGGCGTAATGTCTTTATCCGAGAGGCTGTGTGGAGGGTTGGGACAACACTGGCAGTCCGTAATATTATTTGAGATATATGAATCCCACTTTGTCGCGCCTAATGTATTTCGGGTGAAACTATCAACACGGAAGCCCTCAAACACCGCGAAATCCTAATTTTTGACCACAAGTACTCTAATGCCCTAGGTACACGAGCGCTCTACACACTCCTAGAGCCAACGGTAGTTGGCTCGATCGAAATCGGCCGTAGATAAACAGCGGCGCCAACTGTTATTCAGCCCTTAACGATGATTGAGGTCAACTGAGCTGGCCTACACTTTTAGAAAAAAGGGTCAGTATAGTCCTCCCTAAAGGGAGGAACGCTCTTGATACATATGTTCTTTCAAAAAGGGAGAAACTTTCGTCCCTTAAGCAGGGGAGCAAAAGTTCCTCCGTCGACTGCATCTCATTATGGCGGCCACGAATCGAGCGAATCGAGCTCGATAAGGCTTAACACGAACATTAAGTCTATTGTACGGAGCGAGAAGAACAGCAAATAAAAACGTAACACGAGCTTTCCGCGAACTGTATTTATTTCCGAAGCCGGCTTCCTTCTGCAGGTAAAGAAACTTACGTTTCGAAAGCATGCAGTCACTCAGTCTTCTCATCGTCAGCACTGTGATCTTCAACGGAAACAACCGGCACCCAGTTCGCGCACTTAATGTCTTACCTTTGCTATTTCTCGAGCCACAATTCGTTTGTCAACCGTTGCGTCAACCGCACATCACAGAGGAGTGAAAACCATTCGCCCGCAAAACCAAAAGCAGCTCTCAAAAAAAAAAAAAAAAAAAATCCGAAGCAAAATGTTGGCTTACCTCAGCACGGTAACACGAAATTAAGGCGTAGCCGCGTAGCGTAAAAGGATGTTCAATCGCTTGCCACCAGATGGCAGGGTCAAGCAGACTAATCGCAGGTAGCTAGGCTAGGTGGCGCTAGGTACCGCCCAATTCATGTTTTACAAAAAAAATAGTTTTACTTTCTTACGCCACAATTGCGTTTCCTTTTCTTCGGGAACCTCTAACACATGTAGACACGTTACGCACACTACAAGCATCAGGTGAACATATATTGAGCGCATACACATGCATTGCACATAAAAACATCAATACAACAGCACACTACCCCGATCACTAGTCCCGAGCCCTGCGTTTCCTTCTTTTATACTGGTCGTTTCGAACGTACGGAATTTTTCGGTGACTCCCTAAGCAATAAAAAATATTCCGAGCATGTTCATTTTTTTCCAGCAATGTCATACATCTGAGACTATTTTTAATGGCTCAGGGGATGAATCTCTTATTAAAAAGAAAACGCTCGATCATGCCGTAATTATTTGAAAGCCAATAAATCGAGCCGCTCCAATGTGGTTCCAAGCCATGAGTTTGTTTCCCCGCACGGCCCTTCGTAGCCAGTATTTCTATTGTAGTGTTTGTTTTTCTATTTGTGCTGTTCGCGCACGGCTGCAATTGCCGTCTTGAATTAAGCTTTGTAGAGCGGATATTCACTCAGCTTGAAGTGATGCTTCACGGGCAGAGAAATCGCTTTACGATCAACTTGAATGCAGTCAAAGCCGCGACTTGCGGCAGGTGTTAAGTGTACGGAGCTACGCCGTTGCGAGCTCGAAAACTTCTAGCGCTCATTCCAGCGGGCCACTTGGAGGGCAGTTTCTACAGGAACCGTAGTATATTTAAACAGTAACATAAAGGATAGCGTTTTTTTTCAATTTTACCTTTTTTTTAATGCTAAACTTTCATTGTAAATATACGTACTTTCCGTCATAATTTCGTACTGTTCAGTCTTTTCCCCAGAGTGCAATCGCTCTCGGAGACCGACAGTCACATTGGCCACTGTGCGATAGGAGCTTACCTTTCAGACCAGCGTTTCAACATGACTATCCACACGTCGATCAACTGCACCTAATCCCTCAAGTGGTCCTAAACTCTTTAATGTAAAGTGGAATGTCATCCTGCGACACCCCGCCCCTCCGATCACGGCCCGACTAGCGGCATCAATGCCCGACAGTTTACGTCATCTCATCTTGTTGTTACACCACTGATACGGGAACACGCGGTCACATCGGCGATAATTCCAGTCTTCTGTTCAGAACCCACAACACTGCCATCACGATGTTGCTGACACGGAGAAATACAGAACCACGTTGACGATGTTGCTGACACGCAGAAATACAAAATCACGTTGAACGCCGGTTGACACTCGGCACGGGACAACAGAACCGAACTCAGCACGGAAGGCACCCAGGCAGCCGGCAGGAAAACCTGCCTGCCTTGGAGGCAGTTCCAGAGATTTCCACAACGTCGAAAACGTCGACACAGTTCCTCGTGGTTTCGCTACTGTACTTCCGCGTGTGTCCCGCAAACCGGAGACGGCCGTCTTACCCAGTGTATGTAGCGCTGCTAGCAGTGCTCCGTAATTTTGCTGTTTCTAGCGGCATCGTTTGCTCGTTTGATACAATTAGTGGTAAAAACGTCAATGCAACCGAAACCTTCTGCACGTTTCGACTAGATGACGGAACTACAGGCGGCCTTCGCTGCCGCTGAATCTCAATCAACTCAACATTAATTTATTAAACAACGTGCGCGATGTGCTCGAAAAACGAAACCGAAAGAAGATGAGTCGGGAGGGCGAACGCTTTCTCCCGCCTGCCTGGAGAAGGAGGAAAACGTCTCGTTCCTCCCTTCTTCTCCGCTTGGGGGCGCGTCAGTAGAAGGGAGGAAGAAGCGCCGTTGCTACCTTTTTCCTCCATTTTTTCTTAGATTGTACCAAACAAACTGGTTTTCGACGAGTTGGGGTCTGCAAATTGGCCTATGATGAAGTGGCCTATTTTACAAGTTGTCTATCGACAAATTGGCCTTTTACCAACTGGCTTTTAGCAATTTGGCCAAATACCACGACACACAGGCATGAGCGCCCGCAGAAATATTCCCGGAGGGAGGAGAGGGGCCGGAGTAGAAATGAAAACCCTCTCGTTTTCTTGCGTCTTTTCCAGAAGCAGAAAGCTGTAACTTCCACACCCCCCCCCCCCCCCCCCCTAGCACCAACACCTTCGGGCGCCCTCGCACACTTGGGACGTCGGCGACCGTTCGCGCCTTCGTTCGCAACAACAGCACTGCTATCTGCAGCTCCAGGAACACAAAATTAATGTGATTGTCGGTTGACACGATAAGGGGTAACAAGAACGAACGGGCGCCTATGCACACAGAGAACGTCGGCGACCGTTCGCGTCTTCGTACAGAACAGCAGCACGGCCATCTACAGCTCCGGAAACACAGAATTAAGGTGATGGTCGGTTGACAAACGGTAAGGGCTGACAATACCAAACGTTGTACAGAAGTCGCACAGATAAACCACACATCACAGTCGCTGCACAGCGGTCGCAAGAACAAGGGACCTCAAAGGGCCACAACTCGGTTGCAGTCCTCGTAACAAAAAAAAAAAAAAAACGCTCCTCTAGGGATCGAATTTTTGACCACTTAGTCAGTAGCGCGATTTTTACCCCTGCGCCAACTGAACAAGGAGCAACTTGGCCTCCTCCTTTCATCTGAACTGCCGTTCCTCCCTTCTCTGGGCAACTTGTCCGCAACAAGGAGGAACAGTCGTTGTTGCTACCTTTCTCCTCCTTTTTTTCTTAGAGTGTACATCAATTATTCCCTGCATCGTCTAACGAAGAACTGACGCGGACATTTGGAGACATCGCAGCCAAACCACCACCGCGTGAAGGTCACGTGACCTGCAGAAGGGGTGCAGCGACGTGAGGGGCTTGTAGTCACGTGACGGGTTAACAGCTTGAGTGTCACATAACGTTCGCTGCGCTCCATCGCAAGATGAAACCAGGTATAACTGACGGGGTTCGCCCCAATATATTTAAAGATGGTGGCGACCGCCGCATCGGCCCCGATTGTCAGCGCCAGCAAAACACTTACTATTGCGGAAGATCAGAAGAGATATCTAGAGAGTAAGCTTAATAGCAAAAAGTGTCGAAAGAGGTATGATTCGGGGCCAGAGTTGCCGTTAAAACGATTACGGCACGTCGCAAAAGCCCATGCTCGGCGATCGCGGCCATGGTGATGTCGGTGCCGATCAGACTTTCGTCACGTCTTTCTTACTTTAATTCGTATGAACGGGTCGGATTATAGTTTATTTACCCTAAAATTAAAATTATCTTATTTTCTGCAAAACATTAATGAATGCAAAATATGCCTATAATAACTTGGCTGCAGACTGATAGGGTTGCAAACCCGTTTTTGATGTAACGAGTATCTTAGGACGACGCAGTCAACAGATGACTAGATAAATTTCCAGAGGCTTTTTCTATTTTAAATCAACAAGAAAGGTGCGGCAGTCAGCCTTCAATTGCATTATTGGACAAAGAGTTTGCATTCTCGAGCAAGTTTCACACCTGCGGGGGTCGGCGACGTGATGTTTCTTTGATGAGGCGTGATGCTTGTCGTTTTGTGTGTGTGCGCGTTTTTTTTTTCCAATTAATTCTGTTG